AAAAAGGGGAACAGCTCCATCCGCTTTCATAATTTCAGCCGGAAAGAGTCCATCCCGGAGGATGAGATCGTTCTCAGAGAGCGAAGCTTCGACTACAAGCATCGCTATTGTGGCCACTGCAACACGACCACTGACATTAAGGAAGCAAACTTCTTTGGAAGGTCAGTTTACTGACGCCTTATTCCCCCCGAATTAGGGCTGGGTGATGTATTTAATACATTAATAATTTTGTGATCATTTTAATCCTTAAGAATGTTTCAATACATTAATTTCATGGTTTAAAGATGTTTTAATGGCATTTCTCATTTAAACTTAAACAGTAGCACACCTTGATTATTTAAACTAGATTTTTTACCATAATTTTTCTTCTTGCGTTACACATTTTGAATCTAAAGGGACGTACACACCGGGGCGAATATTGGCACACGTTATTCACCAGTGTTTTTCAACGCGTTTTTTGTGTTCACGCCCAAACGATTTTCGCTGACGATGAGCCGAGTGAACATGCAAATTCATTCCCTGACATTAGATGACGCCCATTTGCTCTGCAATACCATTACATAACAGTTCTCTTTTATCAAGATTTTTGTAGTCGGTCGCGTTTGTTATATAATTCTTTTTCTAACACCTTGTTATTCTAACACCAACGAGACCAGCAGATCCACATTCATCTTGCCTTGCATCTTCCTCGTCTTATTTCTTCCTGGCAGTGTAGACGGCGACGCTACTTGGCGTAGATCTTCTTCGCCGTTACTTATGTGTGCTCTGCAAGACTGTTTTGTGTTTGAGCGCCTCTAAGCTCCAAACACTTGAGCAAAAACGCCGATCTCATTGGTCGAATAGTTTTTGACGCGGCACATGAAACCAAAAAAATGAATCCGAGGCGTTTTTTAAAAAAATGACGCTTTTACGCGTGCCGTTTTCCGCGTCGGTGTGCACACTCACATTGGTGCCCTTTGTTTAGTCACGAGGCGTTAAACGTCAGCCCGTGTGAACAGGCCTTTACTTGTCAAAAAATGGTACCTGTAACAAACAGTAAAGCACAGCACTTGGAACAGCAGGGTTGATATGCAATATTGAATGCATCGTAAGTCACTCGGATAATAAATGCATCTGCCAAATGCATTAAATAGCAAGCTAATTTTCAACCAGGTTTATATTGTTACAGTGTAGGTAGTATATTAAAACAATTTATTCTCTTTCTCCATGTTACCTGCACCCAGATATCCCAGTTTCAATGTCAGCAAAAGTCTGCCAGATGACGCAAAGCACTGTCATTTTTGACAGTTTTTGTTAATTTTGTTAATTCCCCTTTTATGTAAATCTTGTCCATCCCTATAATGCATCTCATATCTGTTGCTAAACGAGGATCTGAATATAAGACATCAGCACATGACTTGTTTGGTTGTCGCTCTACAGTAAAGGCCAGTACATTGTGAGCGGTTCAGATGATGGGTCATTTTTCATCTGGAACAAAGAGACAACGAACCTGGTGCGGATCTTACAGGGGGACGAGTCTATAGTGAACTGCCTACAGCCACACCCCAGCTACTGCTTCCTGGCCACCAGCGGCATCGATCCCGTAGTGCGGCTGTGGAACCCCAGACCGGAGGTACGACCCGACAACAATGCCACGTTTGTCACATCAGTGGCGTGTGTCATTATGACTGATGAATTAATTATTGCTAAGATTGATTTTCTTAAAAAATATGATTGATCCAACTAACTAAAATGCATTAGCCTAAAAATAAATACAATTTAAAGGAAAATAAATGATAAATGAATATATTTGATTACAATAAATACAATTTAATTTAAATAAATAATAAGAAAATCAGTGTAAAAATGTAAAAACAAATACATAAAAATAAGATTAAACTTACTAAATAAATAAATACGATTTAAAGTAAAATAAATAATTAATGAATATATTTGATTACAATAAATTTAATTTAAATAAATAAGAATAAAATCTGTGTAAAATGTAAAAACAAATACATAAAAATAAGATGAAACTTACTAAATAAATAAATTGATTAAAATAAATGAAATATTATTTAAATAAATTTGAATATTCGTGTACACCCCTACAAAGAATGATAAAGTACATTAGACTGTTTGCACCAAAAGTAACTTTTCTCTTCTGTCTATCCTGCGTGGCCGACCGTCAGTCGGAGAACGAGAACTGTCGGGTGGTGGAGGACATGGAGAGCGCGGCCCAAGCCAACCAACGGCGCATGAACGCGGATCCGCTGGAGGTGATGCTGTTGAACATGGGCTACCGCATCACAGGCCTGAGCAGCAGAGGAGCCGAGGGCTCGGACGAGGACGACAGCTCAGAGGGCCAGGTTCAGTGCCGCTCTAGCTAGAACGCACCCGTCCCACGCTTGAGAAGGCGGCAAAGCACCTTAGATATTTCCTTTGCAAATTTCAGTTCTTCAACATGATGCCGAGTGAATGAATGTTTGCCGCTCCGCACTATGCAGACGTTTGGAGAAGTGGGGAACACAATCGCACAATCCAAGTGAAGTCAAAAGCACTTGCAGATTAATGTCTGCAAAATCGCACGCTAGAAGAGTGTTCGCACACCGTCAAGCTTGTTTCCAAAGTCTCAAAGCGCTTGGGTCTTTCATACAGTATGTGGGGCTTGCTATTGGACACTGTTCTCATTTTGTTTTGTTTTCCCAAATGAACTTAATCATCTTTATGAGCACCAGAGGGCTGTAAAATGAGTGTTATTATATGTTTATAGGTCTGCAGCACTTTCTTTTGGAATAATAAATGGTGTTTATGTTCGGCCCAGACCTGCATTGTGAATGTTCATCGAGTCGTGGTTCACCGGGACTGAAAATGTTTGTTGTTCATGATAATGCTTATTGTCAGATATTTTTTGGAAGGATTTGTTTTTTTTGTTTTTTTACCTTTTTCTTCATCGGCACAAGCAGGACGTCTGACTGTTGCCCTTTCGTCTTGATTGATGAACCTGAAAAGAGATGATAAACCAAGAATAAGAGACTTATCACAAAGATTATAACTTGCTATGAGAAGAAGAGATTTGAAACAATTGGGTCTATTTTGGGATATGTGTTTCTGTTCTTTTCTTTTGGGATTTTAGTACAGTTTAGTGCAAAATGTAAAAAAATAAATAACATTTCTGTTGTTACGGTCATGCTCCTTGGTGGAGTTTTTCCAAAAAGGAAAACATATTATTTGACTTACACATACTTTTTTGATCATCAGCTGTGCTATGGCTTTTTAAAACACGGTAAAAATGCGACGGAGACGAACTAGATCAGTCGGTGGAGCCGTCAACACTAGAAGCGGCAGACAAACACGCTGCACAGCTACTCCAGTCATGTCTCTAATAAAATAAATTTATTTACAGATATTATGTGTGATTTTATTAATTATTTACTGATTGTTACATTAAAGCCAGCTCGTGATGTCTCTTTTCTGTTTAGGCCTACACATAAACATCTGATGAATTTCGTTTGGAAACATTTTAATTTCACTAAAGATAAAGTGTAGTTTCAAGCTCAAGCTGATTGTTTATGATCACTGAACAATCCCATGATGCACCTTCCAGTGTAGACGTGCTTCTCGTCTCGCAGCTGATTGGATGCTCTGAATTGACGCAAATACACTCGCCGCCAAATCCCTGTGCGCTACTTTGATGAAGTTTTTACATTCAGTTTCCCTTCTCACAATTAGTCAAAGTCTGTTTTTTTGCTGAATAGTTTGTTTTGTTCCTAAAGTATAATTCATTTCCTGTCATGTTGTGCCACAAACAGTGGAGAAAACATGTGTCCTCTAAAGGCCACCTGACCTACATACTCTAATGAGGAAGGTGTAACGTAATGTGCATCTAGGCCAGATGAGTTGCAAGGCCATAGTTGTGTTCAGAATAGCATACTACTATAGTTGCCTATATATATATATTGAGTAGTATGTAAACTGTGACCTACTACAGTTGCAACCTTTTGGCATTTCTATTTTGATTCACTTACAAAAGTTAAAATTCCATTAGTTAACATGAACTAACAAGGAAAACTAATTCTAAAGCATTTATTAATCTTAGTTAATGTTAATTTCAACATTTACTAATCTAATGTTATATCTGTAAATGTTATTTATTGGACATGAGCTGACATGAACTAACAATGAACAGTTGTGTTTTTACCTAATATAAAGATTAATAATCTGATTCATAATCATAATAATCTACAAAATATGTAATCACGATAGTATTTGTTGTATTGCTTTTTCTTATTTTTAACATAACACTTATTAAAATCCTTTATGTATCATGCATTATGAAGGTGCATTACATTTTTTTCATAAATAATTGTAACCAAAGTTAAATGCATATTATACAATATTTGCAGATTCCTTGTGGCGTCTGAGATTGTATGTTTGTCATGTGTTTTAAAGCATTATACTTTCCAAAGGCGTAACATAAGTATTATAATGTATTATAATTGTGATTACAATTATTCATGAGACCATACAATGCATTATAGGGTGCATTCATTTACAATGCATTAAACTATTTTCATGAAGGCAAATGAAGACACATATGAAGGCTTTAAGTAAAGTGTTACTGAAAAAAAACTATTATATTATATTATATTATATTATAGTATGTATAATGTGATAAACATATATATATATATATATATATATATATATATATATTTTTTTTTTTTTTTTAAATCAGTTTTATTTTGATAAACATGTTTACTGTTATAAAATACTGATTTGTGAGCTAACATTATTTATACCATGGTATAAAAGCGGGTTAATGCCCTCCGAGGTGTCCATTGTCAGGTTTTAATGGACTTCGGCGGAGGCAACCGTCCTCCGCTGCGCGTCGGCCGGTTTACGCCTCGCCGTCGTCCATTAAAACCTGACAATGGACACCTCGTCGGGCATTAACCCTTACTTATATATGTGATAATAATATTACAACTAATGAGAACCACTACGGCACCGACGTCACGATGACGTCACCGCGTAGACTGTGATGGCGGATGTTACTGAGATCGACACGATGAAACACTTCCACGGAGGTTTCGAGAAAATCGACAAAGAAATGAGCCGTTATCCGCACTGCATCGTCTGGACACCGATTCCGGTTCTGACGTGAGTAGAGACCGGAGATGTTCTGACGGGTCACGTGCGGAATACCAACACATTCTGACAGTAAACGCGAGTGTGTCTGTCAATATTATTGTCAGCGATTTCTGTCATATTGTCTCGGCTGACATCCATGCAACCCCATTTCCAACACAGACGAAAAAAAATCATGCTTTTGTGAAGGCCAATATGTGTCATGCTTCGTTTAAAACGTCGAAATTATTATGACATATACTAAATCAAAAGTATGACTTAAAAAGTGTTGTCATGGAAGGCGAAATTCTGAATTAAAAAGCCGTAATTATGACACAGAACCATAGACTGTAAAAACCACAGAACAGTCAGAAATATGACCTAAAATGTTAAAGAATGCACAATTTCGACCTTTTAAACTCAATTATGACTCAGTTGGTCATAATTTGGACTTTTTATTATCTTATTATGATTTAGTCTGTCATTATGACATTTAAAAGTCAAAATTATTATTATGTCATAATTTCGACTTAGTGAGTCATAATTATGAAACTTTATTCTTAAGTCCATAATCAAAATTATTAAATTGTATGCCAAATTATTCTAAATTTTATACCAATTAGCATGATTTTCTTTTTTCTTATGGCGCGGAAATGGGCTTCCATACATATCTATATTTATTAGAGAAACGTACTAAAAAGCTGCAAATATACAGAGTCAGAGGAGGATTTCTGTGTTGATGTGTTTTGTGTTTGTCTCTGCAGCTGGTTCCTGCCATTCATAGGGCACATGGGCATATGCACATCCACCGGTGTGATCAGGGATTTTGCCGGTCCTTACTTCGTATCGGTGAGTTTATTTCTGATGATTACGCTGACTTTAGCTTGACTGCACTGATGTACTAACTACTTTCATTTATATTTTATACAGGAGGACAACATGGCATTTGGAAAACCAACAAAGTGAGTTTAAACCCCTAGTGAATGTGATAGAGAAGCAGAATTATCATCTGCACACATGAAAAGATTTGGTCCTACATCAAAAATATTTTCTCACTAAGCATAATTGTTGACAAACATTTCATTAATAAATCTAAACTACAGGGCTTGACATTAGCACCAGCCGGCCCGCCAAATGCCGGTGTATTTCAGCGGTAGGGTGTAACACAGTCATTTTGGCAGGGTGAATTTTATACATAATACAGGTTTCAATAGTGGTCTATTAAAAAGGCATCTGAAATAATAAACTAAATGCAATGTAGTGTAGTGTCAAACATATAGATTTTTCATTTTTCTATTTTTTTAAGTGAAGTTTGGAAAGAAAACGTATGTGTAACAGTATAATGGATCAGTGCAACAGGTCTTAAAGTGACAGCAGCTTAATATACCTCCTGCCAAATTATGAGATAATATTTTATATATATATATATATATATATATATATATATATATGGCAGTTTTTCCCCATGGTATCAATTGTGGCCAGTGAAAAAAATACTGAGTGGTTAGTAAAACCACTAGTCACATTGGCAGATGCCCTGACTATAAACCATAATTAATACAAAATATTAATTTGGATACATTTACATTTAAAATGTGGATTTAATGCAGGTACTGGAGGCTGGATAAGAATAAAGTGTATGGCGGTGGAGCAAACGCCTGGGATATTGCCGTGCACGAGGCGTCTGAGGAATACAAAACTAGAATGGTGAGATCTCTACTGTAATATATACTGTAATATATGTCATGAATGACGTCATTTGACATCTGATTTTATGGTGAAATGTGAGCTTCACAACGCATATATTGTGACATGTATATACATTCAATAATTTACCATATATTTTATTGTAATTTTTTATACATTTATCAATAAGGCTTAAATGTGACATTTGTCTATTTTTATATTTTTTTACCAAAAAAAAATTATAATCATTATTATTATAAAATTGTATTTGTCTAATAAATCTATAGATTTATTTGTATGTTCTATTTTGATAGTCTTAACAAAAATTTTTTGTTAAAAACCTTAATTTTGCAACCCAATTGTATTACACAAACACAGCGACTTCCTAATATCTCTGTTTTTCACTGACATTCTTTTCTGTTTTGCTTGTTTGTGACGTCCTCACTGCATTGCAGCACAATCTGTGTTGTGATAACTGCCACTCTCACGTGGCCATGGCTCTGAACCTCATGCGCTACGACAACTGCTCCTCGTGGAACATGGTCAAACTCTGCTTACTGTCCTTCATCCACAGCAAACATGTCAGGTGAGGAGATGCCGGGTCAGCGGGAAATGTAAATCTATTTTCTAAATGCATGTTATTAATCTTATTGTGGATGATTCATCCGTCTGTGGAAATGTTTAATCAGAATATCATAACTAGATATTCCAGTGAAAGGACAGACTTCTCTCTATTGACGTATATCATTTAGTCTGCTTAAACTCCGCCCCTTTTTTACAATCCACTGCTAGCTGGCATTCAGATCTGCCTGCACTTTTGAGTGCCACGCCCACATTTCATTATCCAATCAATGACCAATGCATTGAACCAAGTCTCACCCTACATCACATTACAGATCTGTCGCTTTATTACAACTTTTATTTATATAATGGTAAAAAATATATAAATCCTTCTGTGGGACTAAACAGTTTTTTCTGTTTTTGCCATTCCTGTTAATGACCGGTGACTTCAGACATTCAAAAGTCAATATTATCGAATTATTATATTATTATAATTCAATTTTTTTTTACTAGCAATGAAACATACATTACTTCTTATTAAAGTTACACAACTTATTCAGTCTGGAGCAGTGAGTGATTTTAATTTGTCTTTTGTTGTTTGATTAACATTAAAAAACACCGGCTGCTGCAGGAAAATTAGGCGTCTGTCACTTTAAGAGCGAATGCACGGATTCAATATACTGCATTTTCTTGCTCAACTGTTTATGTTCACTTTAGACATAACTGACTATTTATATGAGGATGCTTGCCAAGAAGACAGGCATTTTAACATCATTTTGTTTGAACATGTCTGTCGTGAAAAAGAGCTCAATTCAAGAGTGCACGACGTGCGCTATCTGAGCGCGCACTACGGATGTTTAAACTTTCCACAGCACGCGAGTAACGAATTGATTTGCTTTTAGCGGCTTCTTGTGCTTGAATATTTCAATTAGCTGTTGGCAGGGCTTAAATATTGTGGCAATGCAACACTGGACAATCAACTATCCTGAGTACCATTTCACGTCATGTTCTTGCAATATTGCATTTTTAGAATTCATAAAAATGTTACCGGCCAACTGGCAATTGACACCGTTTCATATACTCACCAACGTCAGTTTTTACTCGCATTTGGCACTTGGTGAGTGTTAATTTTAGGCCATGGTGCTATACATAAGAAGTGCACTTCTAAAACAAAACTGCATGGGATACAATTGATTGTGATAGTTTGATGTTAGCATGCTTTTAAGTTAAATATACTCTAAAAACATATTTACTCATGTAAATGCAATGAATTTCGACATTGCATCTTGAGTGTTGGTTTTGATTGTTTCTCTGAGCTCAATCAATTCGGATTGCCTTCTCTATGAAGGATCCATGCAATACTGCCTTAGAACTTAGAAGTCAGTGTGTCCTTACTTTTGACTGAATGATTTATCGCAGTCGGCCACCGTGTTTCCCCTTATTTGTCACCAGTCTTCCACCAGGGACTTCTCAGTGTTGTGATGTAGAGGACACCAGGACACACAAAATAAGGGTTTTCTGGGGGAGAGAGAGGTGGATTGTAAGCTTTTGCGTGAGATTATTCTCAAAAAATGAACATTCTGCCATTGTTTTCTCACCCTCGTGTCACGCTTTGACATTCTGCCTTAGATATGCATTTGGGAATGACATGAGGGAGAGTAAAATGAAGACATAATTTACATGTCTGGTTAAACTAAACCCTGTGTTTCTCTAAAATGGTGATGTTTTTGTCTACATGAGTCAAGTCACCTTTATATAACACAGATTTTTAAGCAGCTTCACAGTAATAAACAGGAAAATAACCTTCAATGATGAAAACTACAGAAGTAGTTATATTTTTCAGCTTGATGCATTTCGATGTCGATTCAATTCAGTTCAATAACTGTTGATGTTGAAAGGTTCGTCAATTCAGCTACTGTATAAACACAATAGTGTCATTTATTCAAATTTTCCTCTCATCCGATAGTTTCAGTGCAGTCAAATTGACAATATTGCTGAATATAAGGTGCGTTTTAATATTAAGTGTCTTTAAAATCAAGCCAAGGTTGACATGATGCTAAAATGGCACATTTGAATGTCTTTTGTAGCTTTGTGGGGTTCCTGAAGACCTGGCTGCCTTTTCTGATGATTTGTGGGGTCATAGTCACCATCGCCCTTGCTGTCAACCTACGATGACGGAGGTTGGATGACAGGAGCATCAAACACAGAGAGAGAGATGTTGAACGGTCGTACAGGGCAGCTCAGGATCATTATGAGCCACGGCTACAAGAAGCAAATCTGAACCTGAACTTTAATCATGCGTCTGTACGACATTACATTGCTTCTGTTTGGAGATTCAGTCTGGCTGGCTGGGAATACAGAGACCTCTTTGCATCTAGTGACATGCTGACTATTAGTGACATTGTAAGTGAATTACAGGGACCTTTTCCATTACTGCTTACATAAGCTTTTGCATTTGATATATTTGTAATATAATCACATACATGAATGGGTCTAAATGAAACAAGATGACAATTTCCTGTTTCCTGTGATTAGAATTAAGATCTAAGCATATGACTTCTCATAATTTTATTTTGCCTCATTCTTAGAACTATTTGAATTTTGTGGTGCATCAAAAATATGTACATTTTTTAATTGATCCAGGATGTTTACATTATTATACTCTAATGGGAGTTTGTATAATTGGTTCATTCCTTATGTTTTTGTTTTATGTTTTCATTTATATTATATGACCAAATACAAATGTAAATCCATAATGTTTGTCCTTGTTTTTATACAATGACCCCAAAAGGTGTTTTGAAACTTAAAGGGATAGTTCACTTTGAAATATATTTTTGGTATGTTTTAGCTTTCCTCAAGGACATCCAAGATGTAGGTGTCTTTGTTTCCGCAGTATTTTCAATTTTGATATTTTTTTAGGTCAAACTGTACTTGACTTATCAGTCAATGCAGGTCTATGGTCACCACCTCAAAGAGCATGCACAGAGAAGTCCAGATTAAACATGATTTAATGATTTGTAAATACTGTGGAAACAAAGACACCTACATCTTGAATGGCCTTGAGGTAAGCTAAAACATATCAAAAATTAATTTCAAAGTGAACTATCCCTTTAAATGCAAGGGTCAATTGTTGTCAAATGTCTAGTGCTGGATCTTTTCTCTTCAATATAGGGTCATTTTTCTTCATGATGTTTAAAGTGTTTTTACTGAAAGTAATTTCTTTTCAAATAGGGGAATCACAAGTCACTATTAACATGATCCACTAACCTTAAACACACTGTCTTCATCCTCAGATCTATTATTTCAGCATTTCAAAGTCTACAAACTTTTGGGGTGTGCATCTGCTATTTAATCTATGACAGAGGACAGAAAGAAATCAGTGCAATTAATTTACATAATCACACAGAAAAAAATGCACTACAAATGTTCTTTATGGTCACAGTATATAGCCTACTATCCTCAGTACTCTGACTGGATGGATGTGTGGAGTGTGTGCAGCTCCACCCACCCGCTTATAGCCATGACCAGGAGGTGTTTCTGGGTAAAGTAATGAGTTAGTAATGATCTCCTAGAGTGAGGGGGACAGTCAGTCCTGTGTTGTTATACTATAGCATGTGCACTTCCACTGAAGAGCGGTGATCAGATGCTCCCGTCTGCGAGTGTTAGAGTTTGGAGGATGCTGACGCTTGTCTGCGCGATGATGTGCGTCTCCTCATGCGTCGCACTGTGTCCGTCGCGCTGCGAGTGTTTTGATATTGAACATACGGTGCGATGCGCGTCTGCCGCGCTGTTCCGAGTCCCCGCGGCGATCCCGAGCGACACGATCAGCCTGATCATCACTGGAAACACGATTCACAGACTCGAGCACGGCGCGTTCAACGGACTAAAGAACGTCACACACCTGAACCTGATGAATAATGGGTAAGAAAAGATATGGTCAGTAAATATCTGTCTGTCTCATCTATCTATCGATAATCTATCGATCTGTCAATCCACCTATTCTGAAAGTAATATTGATTTAGTCATAGGGGAGAGCGGGGCACAACGTAACACTTTTTGACTTTGTTAATTTTTTGTAAATCTACTTAGGGTTTAGATCATCCCCCCCCCCCCCCCCCACATTAATTTCACACATGTCTAATACAATTATGTGGTTTTGTTTTATTAATACAGTGTATACTTTTTTTCTTGATTTACCCTGAAAGAATGGAAGGGAAATGTGACAACATGCCCCATAGGTGGGGTACATTGTAACATCACCATATAACAGCTTAAAATGCTATCTGATCTAAAAAATATATATATGAAGAGTTCAGATGCAAAAGCCTCTAAGTGCCATTTGAAATTTTCTTCTAAAATGATCATTTTTATCAAGCTTGTATATTTAAGTTCAGTAATTTCACTTAAATGGCAATGAAGATTACCTATTAATTGTCATTTAAGTGAAATTACTGAACTTAAATATAAAAGCTTGATAAAAAATGGTCATTTTAGAAGAAAATTTCAAATGGCATTTAGAAGCTATTGCATCTGAACTCTTCATATATACAAGTCAAACCAAAATCTTTTCTTAATAAAATACAATTTTTAACTTTTTCATATAAAATAATGGCATTTTCTAATAATTAAAAATATACTAATTTTTGAGTTTGACAACAAACACACCGGAAAACACAGCTATACAGCATAGTTCAAAACAAAATAATAATTAATAATTTCTGAACATTGACTCTTAGTCTTTATTTACATGTTTCTCTTGTTTTCTTAATAGAATTCAGAATATAATAGCATATTTATAATAGGGGCACATTGTAACGCACTGTTACAACATGCCCCAACTCTGCTAGTTAGCGAACTATATCAACTGTTAAACAACAGATTGGAGATCAAAATAATATCAGATTTGTCTACTTTTAAATAAACACAAAAAATAGAGATGAAAAATAAGTACTTTTGCTATGGTTAAATAAATGTTCAGTGATATCTTACAAAGATTTCGGAATTTTGCCGCAATTTTTTCTCTATATACTAGTGTTGAAATGGCAACTAGTAAATACACCAAGTTTCGTCATGCCAGCAGTATTTAAAACAAGTGTATTACAACTAGCCCCGCACTCCCGTTTCATTTTTGTATAGGCTATTCCACCATTTAGAATCCTCTAAAAATCATTAAAAAATGTTAAAATCCATTAAAAACCTATTTTTCCGTTCTTTGTCAGCATTATGGAGGTTGGATCGCATGCGTTCTCCTCACTGCACATGCTGCGTTCTCTAATCCTGAACAACAACCAGCTGGTGCTCATCCATCCAGAGGCGTTCTCCGTGCCTGGAAGCCCCCTGCAGGAGCTCAGCCTTCGCTCGTCTCTCTACAACTACACATCTCTGACTGACCTCATCACTGCCCTGCGATGGGGCGAGCTCACAAATCTGCTGCGCCTTGACTTGTCGGACAACCACCTTGTCCTCTTACCCCCGGGGATGTTCTCTCCACTGCCAAACCTGCAGCATCTCCATCTGAACAACAACTCTCTGGTGGCCATCTACAACAGCACTTTCTCTGGTATCGAGCAACTTTTGGAGCTGGACTTGAGCAGGAATGCGTTTAGAACTATCAGCGACGAGGGTCTTTACGAGTTGGAGCGACTCGGTCCGGTCCGTCTGATGTTGGGTCAGAATCCGTACGTGTGCACATGTGAAGCACAAGAGTTTGCGAACTGGCTAAACGGTTCAAAGGTCAAGGTGGGCGACGCAGACAGGCTGTATTGCGAATACCCCCCAGCGCTGCGTGAAGTGTCTTTGCGGGTTGTCACTGCACAGGCGTTGGGGTGTTACGGTAAACCGCACGAAGAGATTACAGACTTGTCCCTAAATACTTCCTACGTGTTCCTTGGATTGGTGCTGGGATTCGTTGGCATGGTATTTCTATTCGTCGTCTACCTCAACAGAAAGGGTATCAAGAAATGGATCACAGACATACATGAAGCATGCCAAAATGTGCTGGAGGGGTATCATTATCGGTACGAAATCGACTCTGACCCACGACTGGGGCGTGTTGCAAACATTCGGCAGGGTCAGCCTCGAATGGACCCACATTTGGGGCACATCCCTTCTGACTCCCGTATCACACAGATTCCATCGGATGTGACACTATAACTGGATTGCACAATGAACCCATTTTTAAAATTTTAGAAAAATATATTTCAGTCTGTAGCAAAGTGGACTTTTTTTCTAGACCAAATCAAGGAAATCATGTCATTGAGACTAGTGGTCAGTAGATACCATTAACTAGAGAGATGGCTGGCTGATGGCTTATGTAATTCCAATATATGCATGCATGATGTAGGCTAATATACGTTAGATTGGACAACATCCACCAGTGCAATATGAGTGCACTCATATTTTTGCACTCAAAACAAGGACAAATTGTTAAAGCATATCCTTTATCTACTGTGTCAATGTGTAGGATTACAGTAGCATTAACCAACATGGACTAAAAGCCACAAACCCTACATGTACATCTGGTTACCGTGATTTTGCCAAGTAAGACCTATTCCTGGATCAAAATACTTACTGCTAATCCTGGAACAACATCCCTGTCAGAAGTCCTAACTCTATCCCTCACACTTGGAAAAAAAAGGTGCAAAAGCTGTCACTGGGGCTGCACCTTTTGTACCCAAAAGCTGCATATTGGTACCTTAGTGTACAAATTAGCCCCTAAAAATATACATATTGGCACCTGAAATGTACATATTAACACCTAAAATGTACATATTAGTACCTAAAATGTACATATTGGCACCTGAAATGTACATATTAACACCTAAAATGTACTTATTAGCAGTGTTGTGCAAGTTACTTCCAAACTGTAATACATTAGGTATTACTTGTTACTGTTATTTAAAAGTAATTCATTACCTTACAATATTACTGTCTCAGAATTGTAATGTGTTACATTACTCATGTATTACTTTTGAGTAATACACCAAAATAACTAAGTAGAACAACTTTGGGGCTGTAACGATATGCAATATGAAACCGAAATCGCGATTCGCCACACGACTCAGATCCACGAACAGAATCGCGACACTCCCAGCGTTATTCTCCTTACCGCCCAGATCCAATGCTGCCTTATCTTTAAATTAGGCTATTAGTATTATTTGAAGTTAACATTATAAAATACGTAGACCTACACCACAAAACTAGTTAAGGAGCATTATGGACATGACATTTGCAGTCAAAACTTGAAATAAAAATTCTCAGAAAATACATGTATTGAAACGTATATAGGCTACTTCCTCTAAGGACTCCAGACATTAGACAAATATCAGTCTATGTTTTATTTTTAATATTAGGGAAAAGACACACATTCATGCGTGACAAAAAAAAAATAGGAGGCAAAATATATTTTTTGTAATTTTGTTAATTACACTGCGCAAATCGGATGAGGAAGGGTTGGCTCTCCAGTCTTCATAGAACTTAAAATATTCATTTTATTTTAGTTTTCGTGTTCGCATTTATGAGGAAAAAACAATGTTACAGACGCGACCGCTCTGAACTGGCACTAAAAGACTGCTTTAAAACTTTCACATACGTAGTCTGTTGCCTTTAAGAAGTAAAAACAGACAATACACTGTAATACAACTGTAATACAAGCCTCACTGAACATGTAACGAGTAAAATATTACTGAAAATTGATTAGTAATGCCTTACACTACTGCGTTACAGCAAAAAGTAATATGTTACTGTAATGTATTACTTTTGTAATGTGTTACTCCCAACACTGACTTATTAGCACCTAAAATTTACATATTAGCACCTTAAATATACATATTAACACCTAAAATGTACATATTAGCACCCAAAATTTACATATTAACACCTAAAATTAACAAATTAGAACCTAAAATGTACAAATTAGCACCTAAAATGTACAAATTAGAACCTAAATCTACATATTAGCACCTAAAATGTACATATTAGTACCTAAAATGTACAAATTGGCACCTGAAATGTACATATTAGCACCTAAACTGTACATATTAGCACCTGAAATGTACAAATTAGCACCTAAAATGTACATATTAGTTCCTAAAATGGACAAAAGTTTACCTTTTGAAAAGGTACAGCCCCAGTGACGGCTTTTGTACCTTTTTTTCTGAGAGTGTACCTCTAAACTAACCCATTACTTAGCCATAAAAAAAATCAGAGGGAAATAAGTGGTGAATAACACTGATGTAGCCTAAATAAGCCTAAACTTGACATAAACTGTAAAATCGGATTGGTTGATTTGAATGTTCCAGGATCAACAAAGATCCAGATCCAGAAACATGTTGTACTTGGTGAAATCACGTTCACAATGTACATCTATATGCTGGAATTATACTTTTTAAATATCTAAGACATCTGAAAAAAATCACTGATGAGCTCAAAACATCATCTGAATTATCAGTCTATTGTTGGCTTGCCAAACTTTCTGGGTTTATAAAAGCAGATCTGAAGACGCACTGAATGACTTCTCATGTGCATCTAACCCTATCTGACTGAATTATACTCTCCATTATATTTCATAACCTGTTCAGCAGATTGAAACGCTGCACTCCATCACATTAGTTGGGGCGGCCCACAGCATTCGCTGCTACAGATTGTGTCCTCAATATTTCGCTACGGTTGAGGAAAGGAGGGAAATGAAGGGGTGTTTTGGGGGAAATGGGGCACAATGAAGGATTTGGAGTCTAATGTTCCCTGCAAGCATGTGAATCTCTCCGTGTGCATGTGTGCTTGCTAGAGCCAGAAACTAATGACTGCAATTGATCAAGACCAGACAGCCCATATTAATCTGTGTCTACACTTTTGGCAAAGCAGTATTTTACAGCATGTTTGGGGGGTGGGTGGATACAGTTATGTACCATAACATTAAAACGTTGTCCACTCAAAGGAAACTAAAATGTTGCTATGTGAAGCAGTGTCAATGAATCTGTAGTGTGTCTGAATTTATATAACTTTTTAGAGCATTTATATGCATCATTCCATAGAGCAATATTTATACACTCTTAGAAGAAAAGGTATAGAACCATAAAATGTTCTATCAGCGCTACGTATTTGGAACCTCTAAAAGGTTCTATACCCCCCTTTAGGGTTCCTTTTAACCAGGAAAAAGGTTCTATATGGATCATTCATTATCATTTATCATGTTATCATCTTGTTTTGTCCTTTCCGGATTAAAAATTTATATTATTGACAAACATCAAGACCCTAAAATGTATTTATGAATGCATGTGAATGATCACAAAATTCAAGACTTCTTGTCATTATAGAACCTTTTTATCATAAAAGGTAGAACTCTATGCTCACATATGAACCCCAATGAACCCCTTTTTACTTATAAATGTTCTGTTTGGAGTTCCCTCTGCTTTTGACTAATGAATTTCCATGACAATTTCAGTTATTCAAAAGTATTTGATAAGGATTTTTTTTTTTAAAATCATCTTCACAAGGGGAAATACTTCACACTGAGCATAACACCCAAACTTTCTATTACTTTTTAAAATTTCTATTTGTTTCAAGACATTTTTAGATTTTGGAATTTCAATATTTCAATGACCGTGGGACTTATTTCATTCACAACACCCTCAGGAACACATTTTCTATTTCTTTTCTAATATTGTTGAAATTGCATATATTTTTTTATTTGAACAGACTGTTACTCGCATTTAACATCTAAGCACTGCTTGACCCTTATGCAAATACCAATAATGGATATTAGATCAAGATAAATTCTTAGAAATTGACTTGCTATAAATGTATTTTTGAATTTGGTGCATGAAAAATACCTCAGATTTGTTTACTTGAAGCTATGGTCAAGAATGAATCACACTTGTAATGTCATGAAGGGACATTTGAATTCATTTTCTCTTATAAGAAATTAACCAAGAACATACTAAAGCCTCCTGTATAAGCGCTGACAATATTATAGTCAGGTTTTTCCTTGATTAAAAGGAAAGCAAAAGTCATGGAACAAAGGGTATTTGGGAAGTTTGAGCAACATCCGCTTAAAGGCCTGACGTCACTGCTTACCTGTAAGTGGGCGTTGGATTTACCTGTAGCCGCAGGTAAAATACGGCACGGCGGGGCGAAGGAACGAATCGTACCGATCAAAGCTTTAGTATGACCAGAATCTGAAAGCGCGTGTTGCGCGACATCGAAATCGAAACGTTTGACCCATTTTCAGTCAATGAATCAAAACAAAGGTCGCTGAAGTGGAAGTTTTAAGGAGTCAAAGGGAACATATTACACACTCGGCTACTTCCGCGATCTTGAACGACTAGAAGTTGCGTTCAAAACAATTGAGGATTTCATCCGAGCCTATGCGGTAAGTGTCTGACACTTTGACAAACCATCTGCTCTGCGAACGACGCCGAGCGACTCACTAGAACGCTCGCAATCAATGGAACCTAGTGGACGCGTTCTAGTTTGACGCTTGCAGTGGCTGTATCAAATTATGATAGATTAGCCATGCATATTTCTGTGAGGTTGATTAATATTGTTATTTTACTGCTATGGCATAGCTACATACGAGAACAGTTAGAGACACTGAAGACTAAACAATGAAGCATTAAAAAATTGTACTTGACAGACAAACAGCATTTTACCAATAAAGCCAGTAGCCTACATGTATTCCATCTGTTAAAATACTCAAATAAAGTGTTTGTGACTGGCCAGAGCACACTTACAGGCCTGGTTTACATCGACTTAACTCTATGTTCACCACTGATAATGAAATTTCAATGCATTCGGATTCCATTCCCATCCACTTTATAGATCATCTGTCAAAGGTTAATGAAAAATGACAATACTTAACATCTATATCTGGAATTTTTTGACTGGCATGTTGCTTTCTGAGAATCGGTGACCATATTCATCAAAAACGCATCACTCTTGACAAAGAACGCTAACCTTAAGCCAAACACTGAATATGAAAGGTGAAGTCACAAGGGAGTGTATTTAAAAGCACATGTTTAAATGAATAACTTGATGATCGAGTAATTCCTGCCCACCAAAGAAAACCCTCTTTCATAAATGTAAACATGCTAAGCATTAGCTTTTTTTTTCATGAGTAATATTAATATCTTGATATGGTTGTGCTGATATAACAGCTCTGAATCATGTTCATATTTTCCAGACTTGAATAGATAAACAACCATTCTTTGGTATCTAGATACAGATCAGTTTGCTGTTCACATGTTTGGAATGCCTTTTAACGTTTAGTTGTAGGCACAGACACATATGCGTAGACACAGTATGAACATGTCCACTGTATGGTAGTTTGACGCATATGGCCAATCATGTATAATTTAGTGATTGGTTAATAATTTGGAAAGTATTTTCTTTCATTATTTGAGTTCACCATTGCACGGTTGTGGAATTTCTGTTATATCTCCAGGGTTGAGGAAGTAAAATGCAGTGAACATAGAATGAAGAATTCAAGGATTGTTTAACACGTTTATGTTTATATTCACTAAATAGCATTCGTCATTTTCCTTTGCTGTCATTGTTTACAGTGATTTTTGTTGTTTCTGCTTTGAACATATCTTTTAAATACTGTATAACAAGGCTTGTTTC